CGGGGCGCGGGGCGCGGCCGGGACCGTTAGGCTGCGCCTCCGCCCTGGCTCCTGCTCTGGCTCCGGCTGCAGGGCGAGCTGGCGCAGGCGGCCGGCTCCCGGCCCGCGGAGCAGGCCGCGGATTGGGCGAGCAGCGCGGGGTGTGTGGACTCCGGCAAAGCAGCCCCTCGGTTCCCCAGGAAGACCAGAGGACCGGGTGGGGAGAGTGTGCAGGAGAGGAGCCCTAGAAGTGACGGTCAGCGAGGAGGGGGGCACAGGGAGTGTCCGCTTACCTGCCGGTGCCAACAGTCGGGAGAACCGGGGAGACCTGAAATGCTGTATGGAGACGAGGGCTTCCCTGGCACCGAGGGAAAGGACCTTGGCACACTGCCGGTCGGCCACTTCCAAAGGTGGTCCTGAAATGAACTTCTTAATCTCTTTGTGCCTTTAACCACCCGCACTTCGGACCCTAGACTTTATTCTGAAAGGAGACTCCCACCCAGCACACTAAGCTGTCCCCCCCACCCCCAACACACACAAACGCACGCATTGGATTTCCCCATCGAGAACCCTTGGTTTGGCCAGGAAAACCATCCCAAGCATGCCCACCGTCTGCTTCAAATCACTACGAGGTTCCTTGTCTTCCCTTCCTCTTTTCCCAGTCTACTCACCTTCTTCCACAGAAATACATTCATTTCCTTCATCTAGCTACGCTAAATTCAGCCCTTCCTATTCTGGGAATACCTGACTCATCTCAGGAAGCTGCCATTCCAAATATATCTAAAAACCTGCTGCCCCATCCCTTCCCTTGTAATCACCCTGCGTTATGTATTTACCTGACTCTGTCCACTGTGAAAGTATGTTATCTTTGGCATTGTCATGTATCGCCACAAAAAAAATGTGTGTCAACTTGGCTAGCCCATGATGCCCATATTGCGTGATTGTCTACCGTCTGTCATCTGATATGGTTTTCCTATGTGTTGTAAATCCTACCTCTATGATGTTAATGAGGCAGGACTCAGTCTACAAGAATTAGGTCGTGTCTTAAGTCCATCTCTTTTGAGATATAAAAGAGAGAAGCAAGCAGAGAGATGTGAGACCTTATACCACTAAGAAACAAAAGCCAGGAGAGTAGCGCATCCTTTGGATCCAGAGTCCCTGTACTGAGAAACTCCTTGACCAGGGAAGATTGATGACATGGACCTTCCCCCGGAGCCAACAGAGAGGGAAAGCCTTCCCCTGGAGCTGGCACCCTGAATTAGGACTTCTAGCCCCCTAGACTGTGAGAGAATAAATTTCTCTTTGTTAAAGCCATCCACTTGTGGTATTTCTGTTACAGCAGCACTAGATAACTAAGACAGTCGTTGTTACTAGACGCAGATATAATGGATATCTACACTTGATATCTACTGAGTGCTTGGCGCTCTGCTTGGGTCTCTCAGGTGACAGGATGACAGAACCCAATCCCTGAGGATCTTGAGTCTCATGGGGAGAGTGTGGCAGGTCGTGCGGTCACCTTTAATTGTTCCTCTTCTTCATTTGACTGCTCTTTAAATGTAGGGGCTGCCTCAAAGTCTTCTTGCAGTTCTTTCCCTCTTACTTTATACTATTGTCGAAAATGATATCTGCTCCCCTAGCATCAGCCATCACAACTCTTGTTGTTGGTTGCCATGGAGTCGGTTCCTACTCATAGCGACCCCAGGTATGTTAAGAGTACGACTGTGCTCCTAAGGTTTTCAAGGCTGTGAGCTTTCGGAAGAAGATCACCTGGCCTGCCTTCCGAGGCACCTCTGGATGGGTTCAAACTGCCAACCTTTTGGCTAGAAGTCAAGCATATAACCATTTAGTGGTTTATTTAAAAACTAAATTTGTAGTGAGAAGATGTGGTGTCAAGATGCAACTCTCCCACTTAACGTTCAGCAAAGCACTTACCTTCTCTGAGCCTCAGGTTTCTTGTGTTTACAATCAGGATAGTCAGACACACAGGTCACTTTAGGGACTACTCTGGGCCTGGTAATATAATTCTGCCCTACCCACTTTTTAGGGTGTTTGTTAAAAGCAAAATCAACAGTAGATAATGGCTATGAAAGCCCTTTGTAAACCATAAAACATGATATAAGTACCAGATAAAATGTAATATACTTGCAGATAACCCATAAACTCTCCCTTGACCTCAGAGAACTGCTTGGTTGAACATCTCTATATCAATTGTCCACAGACACCTTAAGAAAGTGTCTGCAACTAAGTTCAACATCTTCCTGCATCCCACAAGTTGCTTTATTTTTTGTATTTCTTATATCAGAAATAGCATATCACCCAGTTACCCAAGCTGGAAGATCAATTATTTAACAAATATTCATTGACTTAGACTGGAAAGCTGAGAATCATCGATTATTGGTTCTCTTCACCACTCCACATGTCCTTTCACTGGATCCTGACCTTAAAAACAATTATACTCAAATATTATTCCTTTCCTGATGTTTTCCTGGTCCCTGTAGTCGAAATTAATTCTTCCACCTCAGTGCTTCTATAGTACTTTATTTGTTCCATAATAGCTATGTTATGCTTAATTGTATATTAATAATGCAAGATAATGGGCTTGCTGTGAATGCTAAAAAAGTGAATTTAGTGATGACAGCAAATGCTAAAAAAAAAAGCCTAGAGGAAGGGAAAATGATACCTGTGGGTGCTGGGAGGAGAGGCTTCAAGTAGGAGGGTGGCAAGCTATGCATGGATGCAGAAGCCAAGGCCATCCCTGTGAGGGGTAGACCAGATGAGTTCGGCATGGAGATAAAAATCTATGTGGTATTTTCAGGTAGCAGTGGGGAGACTTGCAGCTTTTAAAGGACAGAATTTTTGGTGATTTAACTTGCTTTGAATGGCATTTAACATATTGCCATTCACCAATAGGTCATGAAATAATTTTGCCAGTAACCTTTCACACTGGCTTTGTGCTCTGCAGAGGGTATGTGTGATACAGCAGTTCTAGAGTCACTGAATGACCTCAGAAAGTACCTAATCTAGTTGTCAAATTGTATACATTAGACAACTGAGATCCGGAGAAATTTAAGAGATTTCCTTACCTTTTCGGAAACACATTGCTTTTCTTATAACACCCATGGGAAAGGTTTGGTGAGTAAATGAAATTTTTATCTCTCACAAGAAAGTTACATGTAAAGATTCCACACCTGGGAAATGTTTGTGCAAGATTCCATTCAGAAATGCTTTCTTGAATCAACTCAATGGCCATGGGTTTGGTTCTGGGTTTTAGACATATTTGGAGGCAGTGTGGCTCAGTGGTAGAATTCTCACCTTCTGTATAGGTAACCCAGGTTCAATTCCTGACCAATGCGCCTCATGCACAGCCACCACCTGTCTTTCAGTAGAGGCCTATGTGTTGCTGTGATGCTGAACAGGTTTCAGTGGAACTTCCAGACCAAGACAGACTGGGAGGAAGTCAGCCAATGAAAACCTATGGATCACAACAGTCTAATCTGCAACCAGTAATGAAGATAGCACAGGACCAGGCAGCATTTTGTTGCATTGTTCATGGAGTCACCATGAGCCAGGGCCTACTCGACAGCAGCTAACAACAACGACATAATATTTAAACTTGAGGGCTAGATACTATGTGGCTTTAGCAACCTACTAATTTGATCACTGTTTCCTTTGGAGTTTTCCTGATAACAAAACAATGTATAAGTCTTGCTTGGTCCTTGGTTCAACATCTAGTTTAGACTGTTTACCCTGTCAGGACTGAAGAACCCAAATCACCAGCATTCAGCAAAGCTCTTGAAATCAAGCAAGCAAGTACAATTTCAGGATGAACATGTGATTGTCAGTCAAGGAGAACTCTGCTCCCCCTGTAATTGCCTCCCCAACAGCCACATCCTTTTTTATTTGGCTTGTTAGGCTATTCATACAAATGCCAAGGCTATCATAATTGCAATAAATGCTGGAGCAGCCAAATTCACTAAGAAGAAAGAAGGAAATGTCGGGAAGATTGAATTTCATTATTGAAAATTTCCCAATATTGACTTCTTTTTGCTTGTGATTTTTTTTCTTTTATTGTAATCAACTTTATTTACTATCCTATTACAGTATAAGAAGACCTGGTAGTGCGGTGGTTAAGTACTAAGCTGCTAACCAAAAGGTCAGGGTTGAACTCACCAGCCACCCTGTGGGAGAAAGAGGTGGCAGTCTGCTCCCATAAAGATCACTGCCTTGGAAATCCTATGGGGCAGTTCTACTTTGTACTATAGGGTCGCTATAAGTTGCAGTCGACTTGATGGCAATGAGTTTAATGCAGTATGGTGAGTGTGTTATGTTGACTAAGGTGTACAGTACCAGAAGTATGAGGTTGAAATAGGGTGGGTGCTCTGATTTTTTATTATATTACTTTTTTTCATCAAAAGGTAATTTCTCAATGAATAATTACAATGAGAATTTTTCCTGAAGGCGAGGAATTCAATAACTTCATTGATCTGGTGCTAGTTTGGAAGATTTCAGTTCTTCCCTTTTCATTGCTTTATGAGGGGATCAAAGCAAGATGTGTGACAATTCCATTCAATCTTCAGTGTCCCACAGAGCCTTGCTATTCAAAATGGCATTACTTTAGAAACCACTATTAAAGTACATATACAGTTGAATCCAGCCAAAATGCAGTAAAGGGAATCAAAAATTTCAATTGTAGTAGCAAGTTACTTTTGGAGGAAAGTCATTGACATGATGTAGCACAACTTGCTATAAGGGAGTTCCATCGGTCCAGCTGTGCTACCCAAATCCCTCCTGGGCTGGCTGTAGTTTGGCATCACATGGTTGGGGTTGTCTACTCCAACTTAAATATCGATGGTGATTTTTCTGGCTTCTGTAGCTGGCTGGGACTTCCAGGGACAATGGCAGCAACTTCAGGAAT